AATTGTTCACTTTGTAAATATTTTGTCAAAACATATGCTGGATATAAAGCTTTTAATATGTCACTAATGATTTTAAGATATCTTATTTAATTAACAGATTAATTGTCTAATCTCTTATAAATTAAGTATTTAAAGAAAAAACAACAAACCTGGTATATTTGATATATAATGTTGATAATATAAAAATATTTAATTTGATATATAATGTTGATAATATAGAAATATTTAATTTGAAAAGAAATCATTAATTTAAAAAATGCCCCCAAGGAAAATTAAAATTTTAAATTTAGGTTAATAATTTAAAATTAATTATTTTTAAAACCGTTTTGAACCGGTTTAATAACGGTTCGGTTCGCTCTTTTAATATTTTCTTCATAACGGTTCGGTTAATGTTACGGTTCAGAAAATCATAACGGTTCATTCCGGTTTTGCGGTTCGGTTCGGTTCGAACCCCTGATAGGCATCGACTATTATCAACCAATTTTTTGTGAAAAACGAACCCGCATAATCTATGTTTATCCTTTCAAATGGTTTGGTTGCCGAAACCCATGGTTTTTATATCTTTTTAGGATTGTCATGATATATGTTACAGTCGTCACAACTTTTTACCTCCATCTCTATCTCATTATTCATACCAGACCGCCACATATGATCTTTGGCTAAGGATTTGATTTTACCTGCTCCCAAATGACCTTCATGTAATGCCTGCAATACGTTTTTCCTCATACTAGATGGAATTATGATTTTGTTGTTTTTGTATAGACAATCTTTAATTATACTTAATTCCAATTCAATGTTTTTATAAATCTTATTTTTTATAGGCTTGTTGTTCTTAATATCATTGATGACTTGTGTTATTTCAATATCTTTGTGAATTTCATCACATATTTTATTAAAATTTATAGATATATCCCCAAAATCATTTGTAATTGTGATATTTTCAACAACTTCATCTTTACTTTCTTGTGGTAATCTTGAAAGACAATCAGGAACAACGTTATATCTTCCGGCTTATATTTTATGTTGAAATCATAACCTCCTAAATGTTATATTCCATTTTTAAAGTCTTAAGGACATAGTACTATTGTTCTTAAGTCCTTTGGTAAAGATATGGGCTAGAGATTTATGGTCAGTAATAATTGTAAATTTAGTCCATATTAAATATTCCTGGAATCTTTTTATAGCGAACATAATATTGAGAGCCTCACCCTCAATATTGGTGTAATTCATTTCGGATTTTAATAAGGTTCTCGACGCAAAAGCTATTGGTTTTTCTTTGCCATCTTTTTCAGTATGAAATAATACAGCTCCTAAACCACATTTAGATGCATCAGTTGCAATTCCGATAGATAATTCAGGATTAAAATAAGTCAAAGCTGGAGGAAGACTAATCAACGTCTTTACTTCGTTAAAATTTCTAGAGTGTTCTAAGTTCAATGCCCATTTTTCTTTGATGACACTTTTGTATTAAGGATCAGCAATTTCTGCTAAGTTGGTCAAAAATTTTTTATAGTAACCAGCCATTCCCAGAAATGTTGATAATTCAGCAGCTGATTTTGGTTCTGGCATGTTTATTATTGCCTCAATTTTGTCATGGTTAGCATGAATCCCCTTGGCGTTAATATCATGACTCAGGAATCTCACTTTGTTTTTAAAAAATAAGCTTTTGGCGAAGTTAGGTACTAATCCATATGATAATATTCTTTCAAACACTTTTTTGATGTTGTTTAAATGCGCTTCATCGTTATTCCCAGTTATAAGTAAATCATCAATATAAAATATGACATCTTTCATGTCACCGAATATTTGATCCATGATATGTTGAAAGATTGCAGATGAGATCTTTAACCCAAAAGGAAGTCTAGTAAATTGGTAGTATCCTTGTGTGTGGATATTGTCAAAAGATTTCTGCAACTTTTGTCAATCGGAATCTGTAGAAACGCATTTTTAAAATCGATCTTGGTAAATTTCTTTCCTTCCGAAAGTTTAGCTATTAGATTATTTATTCGTGAAAGTGGATATCTGAAATCTTCTAGAGCTAGGTTTATAGTGTCTTTAAAATCAGCCCAAAACCTAATGCTACCATCATCTTTGTAGACAGCTGTTATAGGATTTGTCCATCGAACATCTTTTACCGGCTCAATGTTTTTTTCTTGTATCCATCTATTAAGTTCTTGTCCACAAGATCAATCTTTGCATAGGGTATACGTCTTGGTGTTGGGCATCTCTTCTTAAATTTATTTGACATTTGTTTTGTTGATTGGTCATTTTGGATTCATAATCTTTAATCAGTTTTTTAATTTCATCTTCATAATTGTGTCAATATTTGCTATAAATTTGTTCAAGATATTTTTGAAGGCGTTAATCCGTGAACGTTCTAATAATGCATTTTTTCTTGATTCAACAACCACTGCTTGTAAATTTTTAGTGATACCTTCATAACTTACTTTGACTTGGGTTGTTCCTATGATTTTGATAAAGTTTCCGTCGTAGGCTGTAAGTTGCATCTTGGATTTTTTAATTTCTTTTATGCCAATTTTCTTAGCCATCTTATGAGGTACGATGGTGAATTTTAATCCTGTGTCGACTTGCATTGTTGTAGCATCATTTAATTTTATGATAGTCATAAAAGCATTATCATTAAGCGTGTTCTCGGTTAAGTTTTTGATGTTAAGATCGTTATCATTATTGTCTTTGGCAGTGCCGACTTTGTCTTCAACAATTTCTTCAATATTTATGTTGTAATTGTTATTGTTATATTGATTCTGGTCATTATATTGTATTTACTTTCTCTGGTTGTAATCATGAGTTGTAATTATAGGATCGGTAATTGTTGCGATTTTGACCATCATATTGAATCTGTTTCCTCTGGTTTTTATTACACCACATATTGTTTCTACCGTAGTTACTTAAAAATACTAATCATTGTTATTAAAAATTAAACTTAATTTAAATGTTACACAAAAAAAATTTTAAAGCCTTTAAAAATCATTTTGACTAAAAAAAATATGATTACAAAATTTTCCATACAAGTGTTCTTGTCTAAAATATCATTCAATTTCGAGGAAGAACAAACGAAAAAATTTTTTTTTATATCGAGTCTGTCATCAATTTAAACAAGCGTCTCTTCGTTCAATCCTATACCAGGAGAGCGAAAGTCGTATTCAGGCTTCTTCCCCACCAGCTACCAATAAGCTGGTGCCCCTATCCTCCACCATGTTGAAAGGGAGGAAACTTGCACTAACGTTGGAGTTTTGAGTCGATAATATTTTGATAATATATAAGAATGAGAATGCACTAACGTTGGGGTTTAAGTCGATAATATTTTGATAATATATACGAATTTTATTTTTTTAAAATTCAATAATCAATTTTTTATATATAATACAGTTATATATACACTTGGTTAAATAAATTAATCTGTAATTAAATTGACGCCTCAAAATAAAAAAACATTTAAATGGACATGTAAAGTCAAAATATAATATGCAATTAACGCCTTAGATAGTAAAAATAAAGATTTACATATCAATTGAAAATAACAATAAATTATTTAACAATAATATTCATTATTCAACAGATCACATTTTTTATATGCCATATTAAGAATATTTAAGATTCGAATAAATTTAAATTATTTATCTAACCTATTTTTTTTTATCGAGATATTGATTTAAATGATGAGCATTTTATCAAAAATGTACCACTTTTTTGCTCTTAGTGATGCAAAGTAAAATTTCATGTCAATATACAAAATTTTAAAAATTCTGAAGAGATCGAGTTGAAACCTTAGTTGATTTGATATGAAATCATCATATATATATATAACCAATAAAATATTCGCTTCTTCATAGTGTCGAAGGGATGGTCAAAGTCAGAAAATGTTAATTTGGGGTGAGACCGTGGAAAGAATATAACGGCGGTCATGGTGAACAATATAACCCTATTTAAATAAAGATGACAATAAAATTAACATTATTATTAGGTTTGTTGCTCATATTTTTGTTCATAATCTTGAATTTTAATTTAATCTTAAAACATGGTCAAATCATCATTGACAGAAATAGGACCTATTATGTACTGTATTAGGCTTTATAGATGAATTTGATGTTTGATAGAAGTGATAATCCCATAAAGTATAGTGTTCTTAATTTAACCACTCCTTAATATTATAAATAGTTGTTTATTTTGATGTTCAACTACATATATTTTGGGTTAGGCCTATATTTTTAAAAATCGAGCCTAGCACCTTAGTAGAAAATTAGAGCTGGGCCAGGTACAAATTTGGCTGCTCAACCGGGGATTAAAGTTGATACAATATTAATTAATAATTTTTCTATTACTCTGAAAATAGATATGGATTAGGCCTGACAGATAACTGAAAGTTAGGGGTACACTTATAAGTTTTTTCTAATATCAGCCTCTTGCAGAGTATCTTTATTTTTAGCTTTATCTTTTTGTCCATCGATATTTATCGAATTTAGCATATCTATAAAAATTAAAATATATAGGAAGTGTTACTTTGTTTCTTCAAGTTAGTCATGAGAATCATTTGTGATTTTCAAAGGAACTAGCATTTTAACTTAGAAGATGGTTAAAAAATACCAAATTTTCATCTCATTTATAATTTCCTAAATTTATATATTTTTAATTTAATACTGTAATTAATAATTATAATAAACAAATTAAACTATAAATCTAAAAATGAAAAGTCATTATCAATAATAAATTGTTATTTATGCTGAATCGTTCGCCTAAAATTACAATTTTCAAGTATTTTAAAATCTTTTAATTTATAACAAACTTGTAACAGAAATATTATTTTTTACTGAACATTTTTTATAATGAACACGAATCTTTACATAATCCAGTTCACGTGATGAGCTTGGTATCATATGATTATTTTGGCAGAACACACGTGAATCCTGAGTCAATATATCTAAAAAAAAACACGCAAAACGATTGATTTTATGTAAACTTCTCTTCTATTTATAATTCAGGTAAAACTCTGATAGCCCACACCATAGCTAAATGCCTGGACGTTCCTTTTGCTATTTGCGATTGTACTACACTTACCCAAGCAGGTTATGTAGGGGAGGATATCGAAAGCGTTATTTCCAAGTTGCTTCAGGACGCCAATAACAATGTAGAAAAGGCTCAAATGGGTTTTTTTTAAACTTAAATTTTTTTATTATTAATTACAAAATTTTTGGAAATGATTAACTAACGAACGAAGAATAAGTAATATGGTTTTTATTTAGTTAGAAATCTTTTTATAATCGAAATATGTAAATTACGGAAAATTTTCTTCTAAGGAATTTTCCAAATATTTTCAATAAATCAACTTCTTTAACTTTATACTTTGTTATGGTATATTTGCTAAATAGTGATTCATTAAATAATAACTTTCAATGCAATATTTAACGACATCTGCCACAATTTCTTTATCATTTTTGGTACTTATGACTGCTGGCGAACTATTAATTAAAACACAGTGTCTAGACTTTAAAATAGAAAAACCCTTACTTATAAAATTCAGAGACCTACAGGCGGAAATTGGTATGATTGAAAAACCAAGGTCCGATTTAAGAATAAATAAAAACTCGGACTGGCATTGGGGAAGAAAATAAAAATGTGCATATTTTTTAATAAACAAAGGAGAAAGAAATTTTTTTTATTTTAATCTTCCTTTTTCAAAAGCAATTGTATTATTGAAAATTGATTTAAAATATCAATTAGCTCAATAAATTTTGGTGTGAAGAAATTGATTATTGAAAAGGGAAGACCAAAACCAATTTTGCAAAACTAAAAAATGAAATCAAAACTTGCATTCGTAATTATATCCCTTTAAATATGAAAAATATGAGTGGCTCACTGGATGTGAATTTTCTAATTCTCTATATTGTACATCATGCCTATTATTCCCAATAAAAAATATGTTTGGACTGATAAAGAATTTTGGATGATATTGAAAGTAAAAAAATTGATTACTTCCCTGCTAGTAAACTTCACGCTTCGTCACTAAAAAATAGTATACTTTAAAGACATAAAAATTGATAAAAATCAAATTTAATGAAATGAGAATTTTATTATAAATGCATAAAATATCATGGCCAACTATTATTTTGTTGGGTTCCCAAATAGACTTGTATTTGAACATATCAATTTGCATTTTTTGCCTTAAAAAGAGAAATTCTCTTGAATCATTAGTAAATGCCTTGATTTTGAGCTTAAAAGTTTTAAAAATTTCTATGTTAAGGGAGAAAAATATTTGTTGTTGATATAACAGTCAACATGTAGTTTGATAATTCTAAATATTTTCTTTGTTTTGGCTGTTAGTAAAGTTTCAAATTTTGTCTAACGGGGAAAGGGAGACGCAAATGAAGTCCCAAATAAGAGATTTGCCTGGCTTCCAAGAGATTGTAGACAAACCCACTGGTGATAAATTGGTAGGTTCAAAAATGTTTGGGATATGAGCAGCCTTTAGGCTCCCTTATTAGATAATTAAAGTCACTTTAAAGATTAAACCTTCCTTCCTTTTTTCCTTTTTTAACGTTATTTTTTTTCTAGGTCTAATTTTTTGTAAATATATTCATTTCTTAATTCTAAAATAAGCCATGTAAATTTAAGCTTGATTTAATTAATAAATTTAGCTGATTTTTTAAATTTAATCTTTTCTTTTTGATATTGAAAACAAAAAGTTTTGTTTAATTTTGGAATTAACTAGTAAATTATTTTCTTTAAAGGTATAGTCTTTCTGGACGAAGTTGATAAAATAGGAGCAGTCCCTGGAATTCATCAACTAAGAGATGTGGGTGGTGAAGGAGTTCAACAAGTTTACAATAATTTATTAAAATTTTTTAGGAGATTCCAATATTAAAATATATTTTTAAATTATAATTAAGGGCCTCCTAAAAATTTTGGAAGGAACTGTGGTCAACGTGCCCGAAAGAAATTCTAGAAAACTTCGAGGAGAAAGTATTCAAGTCGACACAACAAATATCTTATTTGTAGCTTCTGGAGCTTTTAACGGGCTAGACAGAATCATCAGTCGTAGAATTAACGAAAGAGTTATTTTTTGTTAATATATAATATATTTCTGACCAATATATAAATTCTTTTAAGATTACATCAATGTGCTGCTTTTTATTAACTTAGATATCTATCCTTCAACCGCTACCTTTCATCAAATTCTAAATAAAAAACAAATTTATATTATAAACAATTCCGTCTTTCCTTCCATTTTATACTTCAAGTACATAGGCTTCGGGGTTTCGAAAGATCACCTTACCCCGTCAGAAGGTCTTAGCCGGCGAGAAGCCACTAATGCATATATCAAAGATAGCAATACACCTAACTCCGCAAATACGGATTACATGGTTGACGAAAGGGATCAATGGCTAAAACTGGTAGAGAGTCGAGACTTGATAGAGTTTGGAATGATCCCGGAATTCGTAGGGCGCATGCCAGTCGTCGTTCCGTTTCATGGATTAGATCAAGAATCACTTGTTAGAATCTTAACCGAGCCCAAGAATTGCCTCGTAAGCCAGTACAAGGCGCTCTTCAAGATGGACCGAGTATATTTATTTTGGCTGACAAATGTTTTATTTTATAGAGTTAAAAGTACCTTGACTTTTTAATATTTATAATATATATTAACTAATAAATTCCAGGATAAAAAGATACTAGTAAAAATACCCTTTTTATATTGTTTTATCAAATAAAATTATTTAGTCCTAAATTAAAAAAAGCAATGATAATAAAATTTCATATACTTTTACAATAAACAGTATATTTAATAAATAAACTAATTATTTGAAAGAAAATAATAGTAGATATTTACCTGAGTCCACATTAGAGATCAGCAAAGCTCTCGCGTGCCGGCCCCTTAATTAAAAAAAATTAAAACGGGCGGTCAAAATATTTAACAGTCCGGGCTGGGCAAATTGGTAAAATAAAATTTTGGCCTGTCCTGTCTGATATTTTGTTATACATTGAATATAAATTGCAATATAATTATTTCTTTGTATTTTAAGAGCGGTCTAACTAGAATACTAAATCAATAAATAATATAAAAAATTCACAAAAAATTAAACAATTTTTAATGATATGTTACAATTACAAATGCACAATACAGATACAAACATAATATAATAGTTGTTATAAATAGCTATAGAGGAGAGATATAATAGTCTTAATTGACATTGATAAAGGGTTATAGATATTAAGTGGGATGGCCGGAATTCGTACAAACAAAATTTAACGGAGGACTTTTCGTAAAACTTTAATGGGCCAGGCTGAGAAAACTTTTAAAGAAATTATTAAGGACCTTGAAAATTTAAAAAAAACTAATTAGTCGAGCCTGGTAAAAAAAATTTGGGCACTTGTTAAAAAATTCTTAACGGGCAGGCCAGGTTTTACAAACCTCTAGTTTATTTCACATCAAGCATTTACATTAGCCAATGCCTAGTTTTGATAAAAAGTATGGTTTTTATATAAGGTATGATAATAAGGCATATCACTTTTAAACCATGCTATGGGAAATATTATTTAAAAAGCATTTTGAGTTAGTTTTGTTTTATTTAATTTTTTTTAGCCTTATGAAAATAAATATATCCAATATAGGTATCAATGTGGCTAATCGAAAGATCTATTCAATTGATTGGAGATCAACCTCTTTTCTTAATGGACTAATCTAGGCTTGGTGTGATAATGAAATTTTTATTAACACAAAATATCAATATGGGTATCAAATAAAAGCTAATTAAAATATCTTTTGACTGAAATAATAGTATTCAATCTTGGTTTCAATGGGTTGGACTTAATCTAGGAAGATTAGAGAATGTGGGAGGGGTTAAAAAATAAAAATTTGATATGGGTATCAAATATATGGTAATTAAATTATATTTTGATTGTAATATTAATGATCTTCTAAATGGGGGTTAAGTCTTGAAGGGTGTGAAATTTAATTTTTTTATAACAAATATTAAATATGAGTATTAAATGAGTGTTAATTAAGATAATTTGAGTGCAATTATAGTATTTATATTTTGTCTTAATTAATGATACTTGGTTTAGTAATGATGTTTGAATGGGGAGGAGGTGATACATGGATATAAATAAATCACAAACTAAAAAAGAATCCACTTTATAAATAAATGCCTCAGACAACTAAACGGATACTTTTATCCCAATATCATATCAAAAAAAACTTGGGAAAAATCATCACATATACCTGTAACATAACATTACGGAAAAAGAGAATCGAACTTCTGGGCCATATATTAAGGAATTATAAACATAATGTAACATATGATGCTCTACTGTGGCTCAACTCGTACAAAGGGAAGAAGTACAGATTTTACAAATTATATTGGTTATATAAAACCTCAAGCGATGTTAGCAGCCTCCATTAAACATGAAACAATTCACCAAATTAAATAATAAATATTAAAAACAAAAGATAACTACATAAAAACTGGGAACTCTAACAGTATCCAAATTTCAACCTAATTCGCTATAATTCTAACTAACATTTTCTTTAACGTATAATTAACGCTAACCAGTAGGAACGTACTAATTTATTATATTATATACTCAATTAATAAAAAAATACTTATCATAGATGAGCATTAAGCATTATGAACCTTAAATGTGATATAAACTTAGAATTATACTTAATATATTTACATTCGACAAAGAGAAGAAAGAACCTTCCTTCCAAAAGAAAAGAATATCTTCTCTCTGCCATAGACTTTTAATCTTTTTCGCATTTTAATGCCAGGGTGATTAAATCTGAATTTGAACAATTGATAAAAGAAATATATTTATTTTGAAGGAAAATATAATTTAATATTAAATTTCACTCATTTAGAATATATCTGAATTCATAATGTTATATTAAATCTTTAGAATATCTATATAAAACTAAATTATCTCAGAACTAAGCTATCACACGAACATAGGTGTAAACCTATTAAACTTCAAGTCAGTAAAATTTAAATTTAACTGTTGCAACCCCTTACCAAATAAAAGAAAATTTTGTTTAAAGCGATGGGCTCTTTTAAACTATCTTTTACCACCAATAAGCGTTTAAGCATAAATCTAGCCTTTATGTAAGCACAGATAACTGCAGCCTGCCCAAAAATTGATGGATGATTCTTGTCATTTTAAATTAAACCAATATATCTTTTTATTCAGTTTAATAGGCGTGAGAAGAATCAAGAGCTCTGTTGTTTTTAATAGCATGAAAGGACGATGCGCTTAAAAAATGACGATAATATTAAATCCCTCCCTCGGAACTAATTCCTAACTAATAGGACCAAGATTAATATTATCATTTCAGTCAAAAGATATTTCATTAAACTTCCATTTGATGATACCTCTATTCAATCTCTATCTCATAAAATTTTTAAAGTAATTCTGACCCCACCCTTTCAAGATCTAGACCCGTTCACACAAAGTTATAACTACCATTAGAATCAAAATATATTTTAATGTTCTTTTATTTGATACCTATAATGAATATTTATTTTAAAAAAGACATTTAAAATCCTGCCCCCTAAGACCCAGACCCGCTCATAATTAACATTATAGTCAAAAGATGTTTTATATTTTAACTTCCCCCACCCATAGATCAAGTTCCACACATTGAGATCCAATGTGAATACTACATTACACTCAAACGATCTTTTAATTCACTTCCATTTAATATCCATAATGAATATTTATGTTTTTAGAAATTCCTGACCTCCTCTCCACCCCCCCCCCCCTAAAATCAAACCTAGATACACCCTTTAAGGTGTTATATATTATTAGAATCAAAAGATATTTTAATAACCTTTTCCTTGATATCCATATCGAATTTTTATTTTTAACCCCCTAGACCAAGTCCAACCCATTAAGACCAAGGGCGAGTTTCAGTCAAAAGATATTCCAATTAGCTTTTATTAGATATCCATATCTTTTTTTGTGTTCATGTAAATATTCCTGACCTCACATAGCTTCGGTTCGCCTCACAAGAAGGGGAGGATGACCCAAATGGATAGATTTTATTATTTATCTATTCAATTATATTGGACATATCTAGATTCCCTATTATCATGGTTAAAACTCTTTGAAAATTCGAACTCTTAAAAGGATTCCTTTAAATCCGGGATGGATAATCCTGGATAGTTTTGATTCCTTTTAGTTACAAAATTTTTAATACATTTTTTTTAAATAACACGATTTAAAAAAAGGAGCAAATTGGAAATCGTTTGTGCAAATAAAAAATTAAAAACATTGCTAAATTATGTTGATGGATTATATTTTCTGTAAGGATTGTAGTAATCGTTTAAAAATCATCCTTAAATATATCTAGCCTTCGCCTTGCATAGATTTACCCTTGCCCACATGATTGTATAGTCCACTATTTTCTTACCCAAAATTGCTATATATTATCTTTCTCGATAGGTTTGGTGGTGTTTGGTACCTCAGAAATTTAAAATCTTGATTTCAAAAAACCTGTAAATATTTTGACTTCGTTTATCCCTATTTTTTGATATTTTGGCAAATTGTCACCCATTTGTTTTTTAATTTATAAATGTTATTCGCTAATTTTTCTAAAATAATTGATAATTTAAATCAGTATTTTAAACTTATTTACTAGATTATATTTAAATAGGTTAGTAAATAATCTCTCCTTTGATTTTATTTTCTATTTAAAATTTTGACATACGTTATCATTTTAATTTTCCTATTATTTTGGTTCCCAAATGTTTTCTAAATTTAGAATGAGTCAGCCCAAATGAAGAAAATATTATTTCTGCAGAAATTAATATGTTAACAATTGTTTATATGTACTCAATATATTTATCCTGAATTAAATTAACCTATATAACCATTATTCAAATGAGCTAACTTTATTTATAATGTAATCGAAAAACTATATTTTTTGAATGGATGCATGATTATTTTCTAAAAATGATAAGATATTAGTGTTCGGACACAATAATTTGCCATGTTTCACCGCTATCCGTTTCATTTATTAGATTAAAGATATATAAAACGCAAATTAGCTTTATTTTACATTAACAAATACTCTTCCCATTAATATTTCATTTCCATGGTTCATAGAGAGTTGTTATAGGATCGTGATCAAAAGATCGACAATTGTCCGGTCGATGATTTTCGTGGATCGTTATTTGTTAATTTAATATACGATCCTTTTAAAAATTTAATTTTTATTTTTCTTAAAATATATAAATATAATAAAAAAATTTAAAATAATCTTAAAATATATAAATAAAATATATAAATAAAATAAAAAAATTTTAAAAAATATTAGTTAAAATAAATGAAATCTATCTCCATCATATTTTAACAAATTTGTCGCTCATTTTTCATTTAAATCTTAATCAAGGTAATTTTTTTTATTTGTCAAATTATTTTATTTAAAAACGATTTCAATTTATAAAATAAGGATAAGATAAAATTAAAAATACTTAAAAAAACAAGTGAGAATTAAAAAAGGAAAATTTAAAAAAAATATTTATAAATAAACTTGAAAAGGTGCCTTTAGGTAATGGCACGATTGATATACAATTTGACCTGCATCTCAATTGAAATCCTTTGCGGGAGATGAAAAGATCACCCGAAATTAAACGCAATTTTTTGCCGAGTGTTTTGAAAAAATTATGGGCTCTGGATCCAAAAGTACCTATTGTGTCGGAAACAATGGGGATTAAAGTGATATGATAATAGGTATTTTATTCTAGGTAGAAGTTCACAAGTTTTTTTAAAATATTGAATGATAAAATAAATAATTTTTAAGTTTATCAATGTCTATAATTACTGAGGTTAAAGATGCAGATCTAGAAAAAAATACAATTGGTCAAGTGGAGAGGAATAAAATCATAGTAATGTAAATTAGACCCTTTATCTCTTCCTCAGCTTCGTAAGTATTTTACTTGGTGAAGAAAAATTAAAATTTCTTAATATGGATTTCCTTCACTTTACAAGAACCAATTATTATAGCAATGATCCACTGAAGATTCAAGCCCTTCTGCCATAGAATAAGCTGTTGAAAGACCAAATTGTCACTCATTTGAAAAATTAAATTAATCACCATATCAAGATTTGATTCCAATGATAATCATAATATGGAAAACTTGAAACTTTTTATGCTAATAATTTTTTTATTGAATCAATTAATATTTTTAAAAATTTTAAGCAAATCTTTATAGAATATAATACACCTTTCTTTCTTTCATTTGTTTAGTATTAACACGTTCCTAATGAAAAACGTTGGTGTTTAAATAACATTCATTTAGAAAAAAAAATTATTATTAAGGACTAAAGTCATATATTTAAAATACAATAAAAAGTTTATTTTATAATAATTATAGTTATTTTTTTAGATATATTTCATTTATCTAATGTTTTTTTATTATAATTATTTTAATGGATTCGTTCTATCTTTATTTTGATACCAATTTTAGAAATTTTCTTATTTTGTTAAAAATTTCTTCTTTATACTATTTACCGAATGGATTGAAGAATTAAACTAAAATATATATTTGTGCATTACATATTGGCCTGGAAAAATTGTTTGAGCCTGAAAAAAATAAAATAAAAAATTTTTTTTATTGAAAATGGCCTGACCGAATGCCAATCTCAAAACCGAACACTTACTATACTATTTACCGAATGGATTGAAGAATTAAACTAAAATATATATTTGTGCATTACATATTGGCCTGAGCGTTAATATTAGGGAGCAAATTCTATGTACAGTTTATAAATCGATATGCAGTTTTTTAAATGTGATTTTACAGTTTTTAAATTAGCATACCAAACTTATGGACTGCTCTAGTGGCTAGCTTAAGATAAGGGTTAGTAGAGGAGAAATAATAATTAACAAAAGCCGAAAAATTTATTTGAAACTGAATTCATAAATTAAAAACTTGTGAAATAAATTATTATAAAACTGAATTTCGATTATTCTACTGTGCAATTAAAGGGTATCCTTAAAATTAGTGCCTTCAAAATTGTACTTAAAACTCATGAGATTTATATCCAAATTTTGAATATATAGGGTAAATTATTTTAAAAAAAACAAACAATTAAAATAAAATAACAGTGTTTTTTTATTTTTGCACAACCCTCAAAAAATAAATGACAATCAAATATATAATATATAACAAAACAGATTTAAAAAATACATACGGTAATTTTTTTGCATTTACAATTTTTATATAATTTAATTTTTTTTATAAAATACATACGGTAATTTTTTTGCATTTACAATTTTTATATAACTTAATTTTTTTTATAAAATAGAGTTTAATATTTTTTTCAAATGTTTAATATACGACAAATTTTATCTAGTAATACAAATTCATTTACATTAAATATGGGAATCGATGGTGTGATACTTTATCGCATCATTGAAGGACCTTATAATAGCCTTTTATTTAGAGATTATATGAATGCACTAATTAATATTCTACCGAGTGATGCAGTTATTGTTATGGACAATGCATCCATCGTTTTAGAGCGCGAATAGAATATTTGCCACCCTATTCGCCGCAACTAAACCTGATAGAATTTTTTTTTGGAGTGTTAAAAAACAAATATAGGTCGATCAATCCCCGACCAAATATTCGAAACGAAATAATTAATAATGTAACATCAATTCTTAATGAATTTACTATTCCTTTTGATTTTTCAAATTATTATAATAAAATGCATCAATTTTTGGAGATTGGTTATCGAGGACAACCAATGAATTAAGGTAAATTTATAAAAATATAATTTATATTGAAATATATTTTAAAGGAATTTAGAAAAAGGAGAATATATATATAAAGAAAAAACGAAAATTAAAATATCCAATTTTTAATGTATTTTTTAAATCTGTTTTGTTATATATTATATATTTGATTGTCATTTATTTTTTTGAGGGTTGTGCAAAAATAAAAAAACATATTGTTATTTTATTTTAATTGTTTGTTTTTTTTTAATAATTTACCCTATATAATAAAATCAAATATTTTACTTTTTTAAACTGAAAAGAACAAATAATATTTATAAAGATCGTAGAATGGCGAAAAAGAAACCTTGATGCGTTTAGACGTATTTTGTTTATTTAAGACTCGGGCTAAGGCGTGCCCTTATAGTTTAATTTCTTTTATAACTGGTATTGGAACTGATTAATTAATTAGTAAGTGCTCAGGCATTACATATCGGCACACTCAATTTTTTATTTTAGCATGATGCCGATTTTTATTATTTTGCCAAAAATTTAAATTATCTACCAAAAGAGTTAAAGCACTAAAACTTTATAAATACGCATTAAGTACTGAAACATGCCCCTTGAATAAGTTCAGCTATGGTCATATATAAAATGATTGATGAATTTGTTATATTATTACAAAATATTAATACTATATATTTTTTTTATTGGTTTATTTTGCATCGGGAATAATATTTCTTTAGGATTTTATAAAATAAGTATTTCGGATTTTAGAAATGTGAAAAAATATTTGTGTTGTTTATAAAATGATCATCGCGATCATTTTTAAAAAATATCTATAATTCTTATTTTTGAAAAGATAGTGATTTTATTCTTATAAAAGGATCGATTAACAAGCCTGTACATATTAAAGGTTTGCAATGCCCAGCGCGAGTAACTTTTGGAAAAAATTATTGGGCTGGAATTGATATTTGATAGAAGTGATAAATCATATTATAAATATGTTCAACTACATATATTTCAGGTTAAACCTTATATTTAAATAAACCAGGCCAGGCAACCTTAGTAAAAAATTGGAAACGGACCTGGTTGCGAAGTTGAATATGCGTTTCTACTTTAGGGTTTGCAACAAAAGTGATTTTTGAAATCATATTTTGTAACATCTCAATTAAATGATCATATATTCTTATTAAAAATAAATAAATATATTACCTGGAAAAATAAAATTATAATTATTCATCTTAATATTTTTGTAGCAAAAAATATGAAATATATTTATGGCAATTTTTTTTCAATTGTACAAAAATCCTTATAATTTTTTTAAATTATAATTAATTTAAGGTTAACTTATATGTTTAAAATGTTAAAGCTTAATATAAAAATTAGAATGAGATATAACCAAAAGGGGGTATGCTATATCCCACATATCGCCATTTTTATCTAATATATAGAATTCAATTGATAATTTTAAAAAATTCTTTTTTTAAACAAAAATAATTTTCAAGTTAAATTATTCTATATAAATACTAAAAAGGTTGACTTGGATATAAACGAGATTGCTTTGAAATTAATAGCCAAAAAAGCTATGGAAAAGAAAACAGGAGCTAGGGGTCTTCGTGCTATTATGGTAGATATTTTAATAAATTTAATTGTAAATGTTACTTCAAAATTACAAATTCGTTACGTTTGAAAAAGGGAACGCGTAACTTAAAAAATATTAAATAAACTGGCACAGAGGATGGTAGGGTTGTATTTTATTTAATAAATAAAAATTTTAATTGGGGAAATTTATTAAAAATATTTAAATATATTTTTTTTTAACATTTGAATTAGGGCACAATCTACACTTACAAAGTATAGGTTTAGTGTCTTTAATTTCCTTTATTGGTGTGTAAAAAATATTTAATACCAGGGCAGTTAAATCATCTGAAGAAATAAGTACTATTGACATATTCCATATAAAATAAATTAACACATCTTGATTGATTCAATATTAATTAGATTAACAATCTTGACTCAACAACAAAAATCTAATAAATAATGAAATAAATTTTTAAGAAATAATTTTAATTAACGTTTTGCGTTTACCGTTACTCAAAAAAAGAAACTTGTTATTAGTTAACTTTTAAAACAAATAACGAATGGCGTCCTTTTCCTTAAAAAAAAGAACATTACAGCACTAAATTTAACTATATCAAATGACTGTTTATGATTAAGCATATGTTTGATTATTTAAATTAGGAAAATCTCCTGTTAGAATCGATGTTTGAAGTCCCGGGTTCCAGCATAAAACTTGTCAATATCCACGAAAAAGTTATATTAAATGGAGAGGCCCCTATTTATCAATACTACGAAACTAATGAAGAAAAACAAGACCTAAAAGAAAATATAAATAGCGAAGAGAAAGAAGAAAAGGTTGTACAATGATGCACAAAAATTAATAATCCGCATTATTCATCCTATGCTCGTTTTTATATTATTAATATAAAATATTTTACAATTTTTTTATCACTAGTAAAATATAATCAATCAAATTTGTAATTAAAAACAATTCATATTATAAGAATTAAGAAAGTTATAGATTTTAATATTAAGAATCGCTTAACATAATTATTATATAAATGGTTTGTTACATAATTGCATTTTTAAACCCAAATAATTGATTAAAAAAATATTTATTTGATTCTTATGCAATTGTAATTTTTTTTTTCATCACTTCCATTCCAAACAATGATATAGTCATGAAATTTTGAGTGGCTTGCAAAAAAATCTACACTTAATCGTAATTTAAAATTTGTAAAATATAATGGAATAAATTTTTATTATTTTGTACAATGAAGATACTGTATATTTATTTATAAAATCGATATTTAATAAAAAAATTGAATTTTAAAAAAAAAATTAATAAATTATGAAAACTTTTTAAACGCCTAAATTATTTTATGCGATATATATTGCGTATAAATGAAAAGCCAGCGTAATTTTATAATTTTGGATAGCGTAATTTTATAATTTTGGATAGTGTAATTTTTTTATTGCATTAATAAAAATTTTGTTTTATAAATAGGTTATAATAAATATTTTTGGAAATAAGGTTGGTTATATAAATAATTTGTTATCTTTTATATATTAAGTTTCCGTGAATTCAATATGAAATTAAAAAAAATAATAATAAGATCCGCTTTGGAGCACTATCTTTTGTTTAGATTTTTACTCAATGTTTGCTACCACATACATTAAAAAGAGTCCAGAGATGAATCCTGCTATCTGTATGAAATTTTCGCTAAAAATAAATAAATTAAAAGATGATATAATAAAAAAAACAATGATAATACTAAATGAAAAATGGTTAATAATAATCTGAATAGAAACTTAACACATTAGAAAAATTTATATTTTTATTGGCATTTTTTAATTCCGTTCTTTTAAATTTAAAAATGGTCCTAGTTCCTTTAAGAAAAAATTTAAAGATATTTTCCAATCATGTTCGATAAGCTATAAAGTTTTATGAGAACCTGAAACGTTCTAAAACCACTATGCATTCTGGATAATTTTTTAAAATCATATTTACTATATTTCAGTGTTATTATAAATGTGGCGCCTTTTGGCATCGGAAAGTTTCGGGTCTTTATTTATTATAAAATAAAAAATATTAACATTGATTGATAACTAAATTAGAAGGAGTATTTATTAATATAAAGAATGCTCTAAGATTTTATAAATATTCCACCTTAAAAATTAAGTTTTTATATTTTGTTACATTATATATAATTAAACAACTAGAAAGAGATTTTTAGTGTTCTCCCTCTTATAATTCTTAGTTGGGTAATAAAGTTATTTCACCTTCTTTGCAAAAAAAACCGAAACCACGTGAGTTCTTATCAGAACATGTCGTAAACCAACGTGCTAAAATAATGAATGTCCTAACCCTTAAGGGCTAATAAGTAATCAGGTTTTGGTGAAAAAAAATTGAAACTATAAGAATTGGCTAATTATCGAATAGAGAATAGACCCGCCATCGATTTAAGTTGCGACGTCCTATTTGAATTTAAGTCATGCGGAAAAAACGAGATTTAATATCTGGAGAAGGTCCAAACAAAAATGATTAAAATTAGAATCCCAAAAATTGTCTCAATGAAATTTTGAATTAAAATGTAAGGAATATATTTTGCATTTTTGGGACTGATATATTTTATCTATAATTTTATTTGTTGTTTCTGCTACGTATAGTAATTATCGTTCCAATACTTTTCTATGCAATCGTTTGCTTTTTTAAAGTATTTTTTCTTGACTTTTTTTTATGTTGCATCAATTATTCGAAATCATCTTGTTCAATAAATAACTTCATCAGAACTATTATAAGAAAAAATGGGTGTGGATATGGTTTTAATCCGACTCCATAAATTAACATGCCTTTTCGCACACAGCTAAGAGAATGACATTCTATATAAACCATTCTTCTCTGCCTTAAGACAAGTATAAAGTAATTGAGAAAAATGGTTTAAATTTTTTTCTAGTTTAGGGCGGCATCTTCACTATTCTGCATAAAAAACTGTGAGTGTTAACTGTTTAGATTGGAAACGTTTGGTTGCGATATTTTAATGGTTTTAAAATTTTTACAATCGTTATTATTATCCAATCTTTAAAATCACCAAAGTAAATTATTATAAATAAAATAAAAATTTTATTTTTTATACATAAACGAGATTAAGTATATAAAAAAGATTTTTATATACGATTCAAATATTCCTAAACCGAGTTGTACTGGAATTAATCCCAAGTTCAAAAATATTACCTAAATATATAATCCTCAAAAAATGTCAATCAAATTTAGCCAATAGTTTTCGAGAATATATTATATTACTATTAATTGTCTTTGTTTAAAATCAGGTAATTAGCCGTATTTTAAACAGTAATAAAGATTCAGATGATCATATAAAATATTGATGTCAATAAGTTTCGAACTATTATCGTGATAAAATCTTTTTCAAAAAAATAACCAGCCTAATTAGCGTTTTTATATTTATTTAACGTGGAATTTAAAAAATCTTTATAACTATAAAACACAAAACTTACTTGCTATTTATGATTTCGTATTTTATTAAGAATATATAATATTTAATATCCTCAAATTTTTCATTTTTAATAATATTAAAAATACTAATATTTGACAAAATTAATTTAGACCTTTTTTATATTTATTTATTCAAAAATGGGCTAGTGTTTCCATTATGTTGGTCTATAACCGGATGCTAGCCTTTTTTCAATTTTTTTTAATCAAAACATAAAGCATATTTTGAAATCTTCAAAATTTATGGTAATCATACCTTTTTTTCATGTACAACACCTAACAATGAATACCAATTTTATTTTTAATTGTGAAATTAAGGCCATATTTCTTCAATATTTTTTCATCGTATTTTTTAGTATATGAAACCCGTATTTTGGGTCTCTTTAAAGGTCGCTAGACTTGACTATTTGGATTGTCCTAGGGAATGGCGGGATCAAACCTGGGGCATTCTAATTTCTTCTCGTGGCATAATTATCTTTATTAGATTTTATCTTGTTTTATTTACAAAATTATTGTATAGTATTTATATTGTTAATAAAATCAGAATTGTTTGATAACCGAAATATTTTGTGTTATAATTTATGATTAGGAGAAATTTTGAGGGTTTGTGGAGCAATATTGAAAAATTTCAGAATAATCCCTCATCAAAATAAAGGTTCATTTCTGAATTACATTTCATAAGATAGGAAAATTTCTGATTCTCATCATCAAATAAAATGGAAATTTCTAATTCATCTATCATCGAATAAAAAAGAAAGTTCTTGACGGGCTCTAATAATTTTATATTTATCGTCTCTAATAATTTTGTTTTCAAAAAATACGTTTTTCCTTTTTAATTTCCTTATATAAAGAAATAATTGAAAGAAAAAAACTATTTATTTTAAAAATAAAATTTTTTGAAAATTTTTCGCATTCATAGTATATTGCAAACAAAAATGAACTAAGAAAAACAAAAAACAATAAACTTTTGGTAATATAAAATTAAATATACATGAAAATTAGGTAAAAATATAACAAGAAATGAAGGCAAACTTAAAAATTAATAAAATACCGGTCCGGATCGGGAAAAATTAAAGATAGATCTGGATCATGGTCCTCTGATAAAGGCAGGTCCTTCCGGTCCTGTAACCCCGTCTAAGATCTACAGGAAAGGACCGTTGACCTTCACTATAAGAAACCTACCTTATTTACAAAGAATTTTAGTAATCCAGCCGGGGCGTGGACTATAGTTGAATAGGCTTATCAAAAGACGACATAGCTAAAGTGAAAACTTGTTTGAACTATGAGAAAACTTTTATTTTATAAAAAAAACACTATAATTGGGGAAACTAGAGGATAAATTTCCCATTTAATCGGGGGAAAAATGCATGCAAAAAATATATTAGTAAAACAGATATTTTGAATTTATCATTCGCATAAAAATAAATAGAATAAATCGAAAATTCATGTTAAATGAATGCTTGTTATTTTAGATTATATATATATATATATATATTATTTACCGAATATTTATGCTTTGTTTCAATAAATCGGGAAGTATTTTGACCATGACTATATGAATAAATCCTCCTGAAGTAAAGGCCAATATGCGATAAGTGGAAGAGGCTATAATTTTTTTAAAAAGGATTTATAAACATTTGATTAGAAATTAATTAATACTTATTAATAATGATGGAAGAAGCGAAGGAAGAATCCCACAAAACGCTCCTAATATGCATCCAATTGATGTAATCATCTTTCATTTTTATAAATAAAATATTATACATGTAAATTATTATCGATAATATAATATATGGAAAATTTACGGAGTAAAAAATATATACCTGAGCTTTAATGGCGGACCAAGTATTAAATCCCGATTTTAATAATATAGCGAAATCCCCGAATTCGTGAGGAATTTCGTGCAAAAATATGGCGCATGTGGTCAAGACTCCCATCTTATCACAAATAATAATGTATATTAAGTATTATATTGTGCCTTTTTTAGAGAAATCTTTATTGTATAATGAGAATTTGAATCCTACTAATTATGATTTATTTCTTCTATATGCTATGCTAATTCTAAGGGTTGGTTAATAAAAATAAATTTGATGCATTACTATATTTGATCAAAATACTTAATATAATGAAAGACAAAAACTTATTCCAGAATTAAATAATTTTTATATGAAAAATAGTAACTTGCACTAGTAATCAATACTTATTAGGTAAAAAAAAATTACATGATTTATTTTGACTTTCATTGATTTAATATTTGATATAATGTATAAAATAATTGATAAGTGTTTAATTCTAATCATAATAAGTGAAAAATTATTCAATATTCTATAAAACCCAAACTAATATTAAGCCAAACATTTTTTATTATGCTGTTAATGTGTGCTATCTATTTTGATTTAATTTT